GTTATAATAATAGAAATTAGACATGAAAGTAAGGAAAAATAGGTTTTTGTCAAGAAGAAGAAGAATAAGGGTTGGAGGAGAGAAAGAGAACGTGAAAGTTACAGAAAAGAAGGAAAAGAGCAAAACAGAATTCAATCAGAAAATTGTAGAGCGATCTCCAATCCAAAGTAAGGGTGGGGTTCTGACTCTATAATAGGGTTTATGATGAGTAGTATGTGGGATTAGATGTGAAAGGGTGTTTTGTTTATGATTGAATTATATATATATTGTTGTATGATGAAGATCAATGATTTAGAGATGAGTAATGATGCCCTAATGTTGTATAATCGATGTAGAAACATAGGATTATTAGAATGGGTGATTACCTATGACTAGAGGATGATTTTAGGGCCTAAGGCAGGGAATTCACGGCGAAAACACAGTGAAATCACAAAAAATATTCATGATAGAACAGTATGCGTCGATCTCAAAAGCCATGTGTCGATACATGTAGGTTTTTGGACTCAGGATGAGTCGATACGAAGAAGCATGCATCGATACATGCAGGTTTTTGGACTCAGGATGAGTCGATACGAAGAAGCATGCGTCGATACATGCGGTGTTGTAGACTCAGTATGAGTCGATACAAAGGGATTACGCATCGACTCATGCAGGAATTTTAACCTAGTACGCATCGACTCAAAACATTCTGCGTCGACTCATGTAGTCTGATTTTTGACAGGTTCTTCCAAAGGCTGTAACTTGAGTTTTCGGACTCCGTTTGAGGTGTCGTTTGAAGCGTTGGATAGCTAATGCGATGAACTATATTATTAAGGATTAAAGTGTAGGATAAGAATAATAATCCTAGTACTCAAATTAGTATTAGAGTTAGCTTCCCACATTAATCGCTATGAAAATTTTGTGAAGTATAATGAGGATAAGATGATTATAGATTATTGCTTGGTTCATTACGGTAAGATAAATGATAATAATGATGTAGTATTGCAGAATAATAATATGTAGAAGTTTGGTAATTATATCTAAGCCTTAGATGATTAATTAATTAGGGGGCATTATCATGTTATAGGCCTATGGCCAACATCGAGGGATTGTTGATTTGTCGTTGTATTGTTGTTATGGCTGAGTTGTTGTGGAATTATGTTTATGAATTAGGTTGATGAACTATGTTGATGAATTATGTTGATGAATGAAGTTGATGAATTATGTTGATGAATTATGTAGATGAATTATGTTGATGAATGATGTCGATTAATTATGTCGATGAATGATGTTGATGAATTATGTTGATGAATTATGTTGATGAATTATGTTGATGAATTATGTTGATGAATTATGTTGATGAATTATGCGATGATTTATGTTGATGAATTATTCGATGATTTATGTTGATGAATTAAGCGATGATTTATGTTGATGAAATTATGTTGATGAATTATGCGATGAATGACGTTGATGGATGATGGTGAGATACCTCTAATAATTGGAAGCTATTAAGATGTAGGCTTCTGTCCAACGATGATGTTGTATTGAGACGTTGTTAATTGTGGTTGTTGTTACTACATTCATGATTGTGTCGCATACATTGCATATCAAGATGGAGCTGATGCTCGTTAAGATGGTCTGTATTGGCGAGTATTAAGATGAAGGCTTATGCCTTGTTGATGTCTCTATTTATTGGTAATTATTTTGAGATGAGAGTTCTGCTCCAATGGTACCACATGCATTTTCATAGTATTGAGTCACATTATTTGATTACATGATGAAGTTGTGTATTTATGCGGTAAATGTGTATATTGTTGGTATTTTGTTGTGATTACTGTTGGTTGTGAGTTGTGAAGTGGTGATGATATATGATCTGATCTAATATATTATTTATCATACATTTTATTATATTGTTAGATATCTCACCTCTTCTGTTTGAATGTTACCCTTATGTTGGTAATGTGCAGGTAATCCAGAGTGAAGGTGGTTTACCTTCAGTAGTTCGAGTCGGTGTCATTGTACTGATACGTAACACTCGGGGGGATGAATGCTTGTTGCTTTTAATTATTGATTATTTCATTTGTTGAACTTTAATTTGATTGTTGATAAGTATGTGCTATTTTGAAGTTGTTGTAATTGTTGGACAAAGATGTTATTATAATTCTGCAGCGTAGATGTTCAAGTTGTTGAATTAAGAGATTAAATTATTATGCTGATGGTTCATCTGAAGTTTTAAAGTGTTACGTATCCACGTTGAATGCAATGTGTTTTTAAAGTTGAATTTGTGGCATCCTGATTCAGTTGCATGAATTTTATAACTCCGATTTACATTTATAATTGTCGGGTAGCATTGGGGTGTTACACTCATCATCACAAATTTATTTTTAACTACGCAAATACATAGCCTACAAAGGTAGGACTTCAAATGCAATTGCGTTATATGCTTCTAACAATCAATAAAAGCCTAACATTGATGCGTGAAAGAGAGATAAAAGAGATTCAAGTGATACCTAATGAAGAAGATTTATTGCCTCTTCAAAGCCATGCAAGCGATAAGAAAACTCTACAGAAAGCTTCCTTGAACTTCCTTAATGAAAATTGCGCTCTTAGTTTACTTCGAATACCTCTTGAAACCCTTCAACCAAATCTATTTTATTTACCAATATCCAAAAAAAAATCAATCACAACAATTAATTAAAAATGAAATTGAAACAAGTATAGAAAATGAAGCTTCGAGAAGTGCAAGCTGAATTCAATGTGCTGCAAAGTAGAGTTAGACGTTAGGCCCACTGAACGAAGATCCGACAAGAGATTTTTGTTACAAGGATTTGGCTTTCAAAAAGTGAGGAATTAAAATTCCACCCCCCAAATTAAGCATGGCACCCCTAACTTTAATTATTTCAGAATTACCCTTGTTGAGTTACAAACAATTTCCGGATGAAATTTTTGGTAAAGGGTTTAAAATTTCCAGTACAAACAAAATTTCCCCCTTATAAAATTTCTGGTTTAAGTAAATTTTCGCTAGTGCATTTGAAAGTTTCGGTATTCTAGAAATTTTAAATTTACTAGGCAGTACCGAAAATTTGAGTTATACTGAAATTTCCGGTAGTTCATTTATTTAAGTTTTTTTAACGGCCACAATTTCGCCGACATCTTTGGAGGGTCTTGATTGCACTGAAAAATTTGTGTGGTCTAGAATACATCACCATTTGTATAAATAAGGGCATATGCTACAAAGAAAAACATCTCAAACAATGTCGCTTCCTCAATTTCTGATTAAGATAGAAGTATATTACAACGGAAACAACCCTGTTGTTGAATTCAAGCTTCCAGATGGCAACACATCCCTCGCCACCTTGAAAGAAATGTTGAATGCATTGCTGCATGATTTTGATAACAGAAGGGTGACAAAGATCGAGTTTCAGGAAGATTGGATTGATACAAATGGAATGGTGAAATACAACCTGCTTGAGTTGAAGACTGATGAAGATGTGAAGGCCATGTGGAAATCATTTCATTGTAGGATAACTAAAGGTCCAATCGAGTTGGATGCGGAGATCCAAAGATTTGTCGACGACATAATCAAGATGCTGAAACGTCCAAAATTATTCGGTAGTGCTTAGGTTTACATGTATAGTTGTTTTCAGTTTTTGTTTCTTGTATTATTTTATGTTATGTTCATCATCGATTCAAAACATGTAATTGCCAAAACATTATGCAATAAAAAGAAGTTTATGTGTCACAAAATATACATATAATACAACCAAAATAAAACAGATTTAAATAGACCCTCCACGAGCTACGTCAACTAACCTAGCTAAACCTGTATAAATCTCACCTCAGAGTTTACCAAACCCATGAGGTTATCTAAATAAACTGCAATAATAAAATATTATACATCAACTTTCAAACACTTTCAAAAATAAAATATTATACATCAACCAATTAAAATATATACCTCACCATTCTATATCGATCTTGTCAGCGACATGGTCAGCAAATCCTGTGAGCACAAACTTGTCTGAAGGTCCTCCTAGAAAGACTTTATCAGTGTGAACTGATGGCTCCATAGACGCACGATTCGTTGTGTCTGTATCAGTGGGGGATACCTCGTCAACACCCTCAACTGTAACCTGCTTAGTTGTCGGCTCCATAACCTACTCGGTGACCTGCTCCATAACCTGCTCAGGAATTGGCTCCACAACAGGCACAACCTCCCCAATAGTTTTCTCAGGACCAGGCACATCCACAGGAGCAGGAGAATATACCTCCTCAGCAGTAAATCTCTAAGTCCTCGACGGTGGGGTGCGCGAAACTGCTCATGTTGCTCAGTCAATTGTTTCCGGCGAGAACCAGTTATAGCACGTTGTCTAGTTCGTAGCTCGAAAGTTTGTGCCTCGCCAGTCCGGGCCTGAGCTTCTACTCGATTGGCCACCATGCCTGCAACAAAACCATCTTTGGCCTTGGTCTTCACTGAAATAATTAATAAAAGGAGAAAAATTAGGAAAATATGAATTATCGAAAATTTTGAAATTTTCAGTATTTAAAAAAAAAAAATGAACCATCAAAAATTTGAAATTTCTGGTACACGCTGCAAAGCTCCAAAAAATTTCAAAATTTCTGATATAAAAAGTAAATATAATAACCAGAAATTTCAAAATTTCCGATTAAAATATACTGAAAATTCTAAAATTTCTAAAAATTTCCCAAATATATCGTAAATCCTTACTGTTTCGCGAAATTTACGATATCACCTAGTAAATTTCAAAATTTTAGTGTGGTAATAAAAATTTGCAATTTTGGAGTATTTTTGAGTTTTGAACAATTTGATCTTTTCATATCTTTAGAGGTGCCATGGAGTGTGCCACATTAATTTCTCTCAAAAAGTGAATTAATGGGCCCAGAGAGGCAGTGTGGGGGCGCATGAGCCCAACAGATTCACAACACAACTTATTTCCACCTTCAGCATTTTATTATTATTCAACAAAATTATAAAAAGTGGAATAGAAAAAACTGAAATGAAATGTGTGATGAAATGGTACAGTTTTGAGGAGGCTAGGGTTCTCTACTGTGAGGATTCATCTTCTACGAACAAATTCCCTCTTCTCTCTCGCGGCGCTCATCGCTTCTCCTCGCCTCTTCGTCCGTCTCATTCACCTCCGATTTCCACCGCCTCCGTGATAACCCCGTCTCTCATCCGCTTCGCTCAACAACTTCGTTCCCCCCCTCTTCGTTACCGCTCGTACTTCGATTCTTGTTTCGATTCACAAGTTTTGGTTTCACAACGTTCAAATTCAACAAAACTTTACACTATGGCAGCAAGAACGAAAAATGCTTAATATCCTTCACTCTCTTCTTCTTATCTGTTTCTCTTTCTCTGCGAATTCAGTTGTACTGTTGTTATTCTGTACTTCGTGTCGCGGTTGTTGAAACAGAAGTGTTGTTGTTCGTTCTCGTGAAAATAGATTGGAGGAAGACGCAATGATGTATGAAAGTGCGTTGAGAAGATGATGGAGCTGAGCGATTCCGAGAATTTTGATCGTTATGGTTGCTGTGATATTCTGATGCGTGTGATGTTGATGATGTATGAAGGTTTTGCAGAGTTGTAGAATCAATGAAGATTGAGGTTGAAATTACGATGAAGATGATGAAAATGTGATGAAGAACGAAGGTGTGTTGATGATGCAGTTGCAGAGAGAGTTTTCTTTGGTGATTTTTCCAGTGATGTGTAAAGAATGAATCTTGATTCTTCAAAGAGAGAGAGACTTCTTGTGGAGTTTTTTTTCCTGTGTGTGAAAAGATCGTGAAATCCCCTGTGACTAAATCAGAAATTTGGTTATATAGTGATGGAGTTTGTTACCGATTGAAGAATCATGGCCCTTGGATTCAAGTAGTTTGTTATAAAATTAGATGGTTAGGATTGAATTAAAAATAAAGTTTGCTTCTTCTGTTTTTGTTATGAGCTGTAACTGTTAGTTGAAGTTGTGATGTTAATTAATTTATGTTTTTCACGGTTTTTCTGTTTTTTCCCTCTGTATCATTTTCTGCTATGTTCCCACGATGTCCTTCTGTTTTATTTCTTTCTTGAAAATAGTGAACTGGTTATAAGCTCAACTAGTTTTTGAATTGGATATTGTGGACTGGTTTGGAATTTGCATCTGGTTTATGTTTGATTTTATTTGTATTCATGTGCAGTAGGTTTGCTTCAACGATGTGGCATGGTGATTAATGCAAGGCATGGCTTTTGTTACTTGTGAATATGCATGATGCATTATTTTGGATAGCTTTTGCGAAGGTTTGCAAGTTTGGTAATGAAGGATTGGTGGGTAGGAACAAAGGGCAAATTCTATGAAGGTTTTTTTCATGAAGATTAGATGGAGTTGGATGAAGGAATGAAGATGTAGAATATTAGGTTTAGGTTAATCACCATGTATTGTAGTTTTCAATTTTTCCACAAATGTTAAGGAACAAAAGCTTGTAACTCGTTTGGAGTTTGAATGACCATGATTGGAAGTATTTTCAAATTGTTTTTCCAATGATCTTGAACTTTGAATGAAATGCCTTTCAAACCAAATGAATTACCCTCGGCCCTTATATGATATAACTTGTTCTTTGAATTCAAAATGGACCATGAATGTATTACTTATTACTTGCATCTAAAGAACAAAAATTTGGAGTAATGGAAACACTCGAATCAATTTCACATCTAATTATCTTGGATTCTTGATAAACTCCCAATTCAATCTTTAATCCAAATTGACTTGTGTTGTAAGAAACCCACATGAATCCTTTTCCCACAATTAACATTCTTAATTTTTGATTCATTTGAATAATGTGAACACAACTTTGGATTCAAAGCATTAATGAATCTAAATCTACCTTCGCTTCTCAAAGAAATCTTAACTTCAATTTACTCCTTTAATCCATGCTTGACATGTATGACGAGCAACAAATGTTATCAATGGCTTTGATCACAATGTAAATCCATACCATCATCTTCGTATCATGACTTACACTTTGCAAATTAATCCATAAGTCCTTGACTTGATGACAAATAATCTCAACATAAAAGCAATTCTTTGAGTCCTTGTGAAGAAAACATCTGATCATTTCTTGAAGGAAAACAGCTTGGTGGAGGGAAAATGTCTTCGAGATAGCCAATGGTTAAACCATAATCCACACTTTACTGCTTGAAGAAGAATTTGAAGAAATAGTCTTATTTGGTATATACGCCTCAAAACCAATAGAAGTCTTGCTTGCACGATGAGCTTGAGAAGCCTTGGCATGAATGATGAACTTGAGACTCGAGATTATAACCATGATGATGATAGTTCAACCTTGTGTTGCTTGAGTGCCATATCCTCCTCTTTGAGTGGGGAAAACCCAAATCACAAGATACCTTGGTCCCATAACTATATAACCAAATGATATGCATGAGTGTATTAGAATGAAACACAAGCCAATTGAGGTTAGAAATAAGAGGGAAAATTTTGGGGTGCAACAGTCATACCATGCTCTAGAAGCTTGTTTCAGGCCATATAGTCTATTTTTTGAGCTTGAAAACATGGTCTGGAAAGGTAGGGTTGATAAAGCCATGACGTTGATCAACAAATATCTCCTATTGAATGTAACCGTTTAGAAATGTACTTTTTACATCCATTTGAAATAGTTTGAGATTCCTAATGCAGGAAAAGGCTAATAATATCCTTATGGCTTCTAATCTAGCCACATGAGTATATGTTTCATCGAATTCTATTCGCTCATGTTTATTATACCCTTTTGCAATGAGTATGGCTTTATTTCTTAAATCATTGTCATCTTCATCCAGCTTGTTGCAAAAAACTCCATCAGGTTCCAATTACTAGATTAGCTGAGGCTTTATGAATGAGTTCCCAAATATTATTTCGTTCAAATTTATTTAACTCTTCTTGCATAGCTTATTGAGTGATTGTCTAGTGGTGAATCCTTTGGATATGTCTCCAATAACATTATGTATTGGATGATCATTTGCTAGTCTCCATTCCTTTGGGAGATTTGGTTTTCCCTGTGGAGTGTCTGAGATTTGATCCTGAACTGATTATTCTTCTTGATTTTCATTTTCACTTGGCTCTTGGTTCAATTCTTGTTCATCTTCCAGACTCATATTTTCCAACATACCTACATAATCAACAACTTCTACTTCTACAGTTTTGGGGTTAGATTTGTCAAAGATAACATGAATTGATTCTTCGAGTGTTTTGGTTCTTAGATTATAAACTCTAAAGGCTTTACTCGATGTATAATATCTTATGAATATGCCTTCATTAGCTCTTGCGTCTAATTTTCCAAGGTTATCTTTCCTGTTATTATGGATGAAGCATTTGCATCTGAAAACATGAAAATTAGATATATTTGGCTTTCATCCTTTCTATAACTCATAGCACTATCGCTTTAGAATTGGTCATATCAGGACACAATTCATAACATAGCAAGCGATGTTCACATCATCAACCCATAGGTATTTAGGAAGATTGTTCTCATTGAGCATCGCCTTTGCAAGCTCTACTAAAGATCTATTTTCCTTTCTACTACCTCATTTTAATGGGGAGTTCATGGAGTGGAAAAATTATGTTGAATACCATTCTTGTTGTAAAAATTTTGAAGTTCTCATTTTGGAATTTTCCTCCATGATCACTTCTAATGGATGCGATGTTTACTCCTTTTTCGTTCTGGATAATCTTGGCTAGTTTTCAAAAGGCAATGAACCCATCTCTTTTATGAGATAGAAATTTTTCCCAAGTATATCAAGAATAATCATCCACAATGACAAGAGCATAGACATTTCCGCCTAAACTTACGTTTCTAGATGGGCCAAAAATGTCCATGTGAAAGAGTTGTAAGGGGAGATCAGTAGAAACTATATTTTTATATTCAAAAGAGGATATTACTTGCTTCCCTTTTTGGCATGCATAACATAATCTATTCTTTTTGAAATGCAAGTTTGGAAGCCTATCTACAAGATTCTTGCAAACCAGCTTATTTAAGCAGTTCATGTGGATGTGTGCTATTCTCATATGTCATAATCAAGATTCATCCTCGTTACTTAGGAGACGTACATCATTTGAAAGAATTTTGTTTAAATTCACTTTGTAGTTCTTCCACTTCTTGAGCTTGTAAATATAATTTCATTTGATTTTGATTTTATGACCCTGCAACCACAAGAATCAAATGTTACATTGTTACCTTTGTAACACAGTTGACTTATGTTCAGAAAATTATGCTCAAGTATTTTTACCAGAAGGACTTCCCTAGTCCTTGGATTTGGGAACTTGTCGATGGTGTCAAAACCTAGTATTTTTCCCTTATTATTATCTCCATATGAGACAAATCATCATTCTTTGGGAAAAAAGGTGGAGAATAAGGTTTTTCATCTGTCATATGCTTTGAGCAACCGCTATCAAGATACCATTTTGTGTTTGAGAATGTAAAGCATTCCCGCAGAGAAAATGTTAGTTCTTAACTTTAGTTACCCATATCACCTTGGGTCATTGTTTGTTAGTTTCATAAACAGTTTTCTTTCTTGTTTTAGAAACATATGCATTTTCAGAGTTAGATGATATTTTAGCTTTGTGTTCACAATGTTTCTTGTAGAAGTATGAAGGGGGTGTCCTTCTTTACTTTCATAGCTTTTCTTTATAAAACAGAACATGACGATGTGACCTTCTTTATTATAGTAATTGCATTTTAATGCTTTACAATGAGAAGTATTTTTTGTCTTGCATATGTTCTCAAAGTTTTTGCTATTGCTTTTTTGTTCATAACTTAATCCGACTTTGTTGTAGGAGGCTCTTTGATTTCCTAACAGGACCTCTAGGTTATCTCTCCCTTTGGTAAATTTGGCAAGTGATTTTGAAGATCGCAAACTTACTTTTAAAAGTTGTTGTAGCTGTCACACATGACAGGTTCACTATTTGAAGTTGACGGGTTTTGATTTAATTTTTACTCTTTCTCTCTAAGGCGTTCTATTTTCTTTTCAAGGGTTTTATTTCTAGTTTTAAGAGAGGAGGTGTTATCCTTAGATGTAGAAATGATTTTTTCTAGTTTGGTTGTTTCTTTTGTTAATTTCTTACATAATCTAAATAAATCATGATAGAAAAATTGACAGATTACCTCATTTTCTTGATGTTTTGTCAACATGTAGATGTTGGCTTTTTCTTCTTCATCATCTGAGAATTTCATATTATTTTCTTCCCATGAGACATAAGTTTTATTTTTCTTTTGATTCTTTTTGAATTTTTTATTAGCCTTTTTTAATAGGGGACATTATGGTTTGATATGTCCTTTCTGTTTGCTTTTTCTCATTCTTCATAAATCTCTTGAAATTATTTACTATGAGTGTCATGTCACCATCTGAGTCAGATTCTTCAGTTTTAAGTACACGACTCTTGCTTTTCTTTTCTCCTTCTTCATCTATGTCAAGTATTTTGAGCTCCATTTCATGTTTCTTCAATTTACCAAATTGTGTATGTTTTTTCATAATCGCCAAATACTTAGATTGAAAAATTGCAATGACTTTGGGATGTCAGGTACAATTTAAGAAACTAAGAATTCTTATGACTAATTCTTCATTTTAGAATGTTTTCCTCATAATTCTCATATGACTCACGATGCGGGTGAATCGTGTTTGTATTTTATTTATGTTCTCTTTAAATTATGATGAGTTCATATTCATGGAATAATGTTCCCAACCTTGTTCTATTTATCTCAGTAGTACATTCATGGATAATTTGGAGGATGTCCCACATTTCTTTAACAGTTTCACAGTTAGAAACTCGCAGGAACTCATCAAGACCGAGTGTGGTGGTGATGATGTTCTTAGCTTTCAAACCAAATTGCACATTATCCTTATCCTCTTTGAACCAATCCTTTTCAGGTTTGTCTACTACAACACTATTGACACCGTGTGTAGGGACATATGGTCCTTCTTTCACATTCTTCCAAATACCCCAATTTGTCCCTTCTATGAAAAATTTCATTTTCTCTTTCCACAAATTGTACCCTTCTCTGTTGAAGGATAGAGATTTGTTAGTGAGTATCTTGAAGATATTTTTCCTCCTAATATTATTAGTCCTTAACAAGAGTTTAGTTCTGATATCACTTGTTGGACAAGTGACTTCAAGCACAAGAGGGGTTGAATTGTAGCATCCAAAATTCGTGATTGATTTTAAACCTTTCTCGAATAAGATCGTA